GTTTGATACAATTAAAATATGAATGAATTTAATCTGGAAACATTAAAAATAAATGTGGGGTATTTCTTTATTAAATAATTTAATTTTAAAAATGCATGCTAAGAAATAAAAAATACCTTAGGTAATAATTTCCATCGCTTATTCATCAACAAATGCCTAAACCATTGAATTATGTTGCCTTTTAATAAGATTTGGTATTAAAATATTTAGTTATTTTCCCTGGATGAACTCAGAACTGTAACCAAATATTTTATCAAATGTTTTTGAAGTCTTTTTAATCAAAAATTCTTTTTCTATGAAGGATGTGAAAAACACACATATCTTTTCTGAATTTTAGCCTATTTCAACTAATTTTTTTTAATTATCATTTTTCTATTTTGAAAGATCCAAAGCTGCTAGCTGAAATTCTTTCACTCTTCTGTTTTAGAAATCAATAAGTTAGATGTATATACTAGTTAGATATTATAGATCGATATCTAAAGGGTTGATTTAAAAAAGCTCTACAATATTTTATTCTAAATTTTAGTTTAAATTTATTAAAGGGAGAGATATTTCTTGTAATTTTTGCAATTAAATATAGTTTCCACTTAAAAAATCATATAAATGGCCTATTTGCAATAAAAGAGTACTAAATCTCTCTTTGCATATATTTATTTTATCATCAAATAGAATGGCTTCCATCATATTTAGTTATTAATTTTCTATATTAGAGTCAAATAACTTTATTTTGTAATCATTTAAAATTTATAGCTTCAACTACTCAAAGTAAAATTAATCTCTTAAATTAATTTTATTCATTTTATTTAAATTGTATATTGATATTTTTTAAAGCTATACGAGTACTCTAGTTGGATTGTTGATTATTTCATAAAGGTAATTCAAATATGATAATTATAGTATGTATGAATTTTTGCTCTAGTTGTTCTTTTCGCTACTTTAGATAAAGACTTCTATTAATTATAATATTACAAATTAAGCATATTCTTACCTGAAATGATTTTCAGATAATTCTTCGATTTGCAATGACTCTTTATTATCCTTTTAGTTAATTTTTAAATAAAATTTATTCTAAAAATATGATTTTAAAAATGTAGAGATAAAGTAAATTAATTAGGTATCAATCTATCTATATAAAATTTTAATGACTTAAAAAATGATTAATTAGTTAATTAAATTTTTAAAAATGTAACAATTTCTTTCTTGTTAGAAGTAATGTATTTCAGAATTAAAAAATATGTTACATATCTTCTGAATTTATGACAAAAACAATATTGATTATTATCAGTGCATTGCTTTTCATGAAATTAAATTATAATTTCATAGTTGATTCCTTATCCTTTTAGCAAGTAGTTATTTTAGCTCAATATTGCTTAATTGATTAGTATTCTTACAACTTTTAAGAATTTCCAATCTTTGTATAATAAAAGGTCTCTGCTATTTGAAAATTCTTGAAATAGACTATGGTTTTACATTTCTTTGTAATTTTTGATGATTTGAATTGATAGAGGCACTGTTACTATACAAGCAAAGATCAGATCAATACAATTAAATATATACAATTCTATTAAAAAGCAGAAAGTGATTTGAAGAGAAGAAGCGCATAAATAGAAGTAGATTTAATTGATATCTTTTGATAAAAAGTGATCATCAAATAATAAGAAAGTAACTTCAAGCAGAAAATAGACGAAAGAATAAATAACAACTAATTTTTCTCCTTAAAATTAATATAGAAAGATTAAAGCTGTTCTTAAAATAGCTAAGAATAATTTTTGCTTGCTAGCTTATTGTGCTAAGTAATTGCTTTTTTCTTAAAATGAGTAGCTGATATTATGTACTTCTAAAAAATATCCTATGTTATTTATAAAAATAATTAGGTTTCATTTATTGTGCACGTTTACAAAGATTTTAATGCTCATCAAATAGTAGATGAATTCAATTAATATAATTAATGTTGGATTTAATCAAAATTTAGCAAATTACATTGACGAAAACACCTAAATTAATTTAAATTAAGAAAATAATCATTTAATAAATTACCTATTGCTAAAGTTAAAATAACATTTATATAGGACATTAATATAATAACAAGTGAGTATGTATTACTATTTTCTGATAGAATATTTAAAGAGATATTCAAAAATACATAAAATGGCCATTTATTGTAGATTGTTGTATAGATTTAGAAAAATAATTCATAATATTTTGTCAGATTCAGTTTTCTAAAAGCAAAGACAAAGGCTAAACTAAGGATAAAAAGGCTATTTAAGACTAACGAAATAATTGCTAATGATATTTTATAATAGATTTATGAGACGAAATAATCTTTTAGTAATGGTATGATCTATAGATATTATATAAAATTTGATATATCATAGATTCTACTTTATTTAATAGTCTGCTGTTATTACGTTTAGCTATTGTTTTAGTTCTTTAGTGCAAACGAAAGTATAGTTAGATAGTTAATTATGACAATTAAAACTGATATATTTTTAGTCAGATTAATTGGGCGAATTAATCTAACCATATCGTTTATATAAAATTATTTTAGTTTATAGCTATTAAAGCATTATTTCATTTATAAATCTTTTTAGGTATTTTACGTAGCCTTGGTATTTCTCATTTTATTCATCTTTCTGATTATATCAATTTGCTTTTTTTTCTAACTCTTTATTTGAATGAATAAAAACTATACCTTGCTTGATTGATAATAAATATATTTATTTACTTATAAGATTGTTTTTGGTGATTTAGAGAGATCAGCTTTTTCGTGAAATTTAATTAGTTATCTAGCTAATTTATTTATTTATTTCTTTTTGTTAGATTTTTGGGAAATTTAGAATGTTATTTTTTCTTATTTCCATAAGTATTTTGTTAAATTATCATTAAAAAATAGAATTTAAAAAATAATTTCCTTTTTAAAATTGATATAGGAATACATTTTAAAATAAATATAGGAACTTTAAATACAGTTTTTTAAGGAATAACTAATATGGAAATATTAGTAAATAATATAGATTAATTTCTCTTGAACAAAAGAAACTCCTATGCCTTCAGTTTTATTAAATGACAAATTAATTAATTAAAATACTCACAGCCAGCTGCACTTTTCTTTCATAATTTGAGTAAATAGATATAATTAAGTCCCAATCAATTGAATATTAATTTATATTTAATGGAACTATATTTACCACAATTCTTCTTAACTTATGATACTTACAGAATCTAAACAAATAAAAAAATTAAATCATTAATCAAATCAAAACAAATAGAAAAACAAACAAAGAGCAAACAAACAAATATAAAAATTATATTTAAGAAATTAAAAGCTCTTATTTATTTGCGTGAAGATAAATGTGTTTACTCTTTAATATTTACTTAAAAAATAAAAGTAATTACATTATTAGAATTTAGAAAACATATATATGTATGGTTTATTTTTGATATATGAAAAATATTTAATTTAAACGATACTTTTGAATCAAAAACAATTATTGTATTAAAAAATATATGCTTTTATTTAAAATATTCAAAATATTATTTTTTTATGATTAATTCTAAATATTATAATTTAATTTTATTATTATTTTTAAAAAATATATTCAATATGTATCCTTAGGAAGAGATGTATTTATATACTGTAAATTCAAAGTGTAAATCAGTTTTAATTTAGAGTAAATTTAAATCCTTAATAAAAGTAAGTTTATAATTGTACAATTTATTTCAAAATCTTATAAAAGATCTAAATTACAAGTGAAGAGTTTTTTATTTTTTATGTCAAATAAAATAATTATATAATTTGATTTGAAAAAAAGTAAGTTCACTTTTTAAATTTTGAATTTCTACTGGATAAATTATTTATTTACTACTATAGTTAAATACCTTTTTAATTTTCGATAGGCTATCTATTTATTCTAATGAATATTTAATTAAAAGAAATTTAGACAAATGTTTTATTACAAATATTAAGATATATCTTATTTGAATTTATGATTTTAAATATAAAATAATGAATAGGTTATCAACTTACTTATTTTATAGCAATTCAAAAATATTCAATCAAGACTCATTTAAAACAAACGAAGCTTACGGTGTAAAAAAAATATTATTAATGACGGTTTTACATTATTTAAATAAAAAATATAGTTACAAAATATTATTTTAAAAAATGAGCTGGCCAATATTTATATTTCTTTATTCAACGCTACTTCTATGAGATTTATCTAAAGTATGATTAAATAAAATCATTTTCATAGAGAAGATTTATATGAAATAGAGTGAATATTTTGGTAATGCTATGGAGTTATTTTCTAAACCATTAAAAGAGGTATAACCAACCTATCAAAAATACTAAGCAAATAGTTATCAATTGAATAATAAACAAATATAGCAAACTCTGCTTTAAATTGATTTGATATTATTACAGTTGTTCATTTTAGTACTATCTTATTGCATTTATGACCTCTGAAATTACTTAAATTAGTTGCTTAAATTCTATAAATGAATAAGAATTTTGTAAATATATAAACTAGTTGGTAAGGTCATCAATATCTTGAATTTAATAAATTTAGTATAATTCTTAAAATGTCTAAAAAACTTTTTAGATTGAGAATATTAAGCCTCTCTCTAATATTCCATTAAATAGTTTATTGCATCGGGGCTCAGTTATATTTGAATTAAAATATTACGGATAATTTTATCTAACTGAGCACACATTTTCATTTAATAGATTTTAATAAAAATCTATGAATATTCTTTAATTATTTCGTTGAACTCCTAAGCCTGCAGTTAAATTTTAAAGGTATTAGAAGACTTAATTATTTTAATCTTAGAGATTTTTTAAATAGCTATAATAGAAAGAAGTCTAAGGTGAGGAGCGAGTAGCTATTAAATAAACTTGCTCCATTTATGGAGATTAGTTTTCTATTATTAAAGAGTAAACATCGATTAAAGAAATTCTATCTTACAGAGTAACTTTTGATTCTCTTTCAAAAGGATTGAATTCAATTAAATTTAATATAGGCATGACGAGTAAGAGGGCTACAGCAATAGTTCCTAAAAAAAATAAAACAAAATTGAATTTTGGAATGTTGCTAAACGATGCTATTTTTCTAGTTCGCTTATCTGACTACCTTTGAATATATAGAGGAATTTGATAGTTTAATTTTCTTTCATACTTTTATTCTTCTTCTTCTTGCTAATTCGAAAAGAAATTTAAATCCCTTACTTGCTATATTTACTTTCTATTACTTGTAGATCTTTTATTAGAGTAAGTACTGTTATTCGTTTACTCCAAAATATTGATTTACTCTATTTTAAAAAGGCCAAGCTCTATTTATCTTATTTAAAATTCTATTGTTGATGGTTAAAATGTACCAAAGAGTTTCAAAACCTTTTCCTTGTAAATTTAAATAACAATGTAAATAGGTAAAACTGAAAATACTAACAATGTACTGATAGAAGTAAATAAAATAATTGCAGATATTTACTAGTAATTCATATTATTAAATTATTCTGTAGCATAATTTTCTACAATCAGCTATAAATTTTTCATTCTTTATTTGAAACTGACAATGTTTCCCCAAATAAAATCTTCTTACTACTCCTCATAACTAAGATAATAAAATGTTATCTCATAGAAAAATTGCATCAGGGTGTATTATAGACTCTATTCAAAAGTAGTGGTTGAATTTTTTAAAGCCCTGTTATTATTGTAAAATCCAGCAGAGTAAATTTGAACTTAAAATAAATTATTTTATAAATCTTTAAGCTAATCACTACTATCATTATTAATAACAAGCTTTTATAAACTAGTATTATAATCTTACAAGACCACTTATTGCTAATAATCTGATTGTTTATTCTCATAATTTTAAAGATCTAAGTCATCTAAAATGAAAGATTAACTTCCTCCCAAAACTGCTTAGTAGTTATTGAGTGCAACCATATTCATTACATCAACAAAACAGTAGAGAGCATCATCAATCTTTAGAAATGATTAAACAAAAGAATCCAAACTATTTAGATTTTCAAAATATATGATAAGTGATACAATACTTAAAATAACAAATGCTGAAATTCCTGCAAAAACCATGAGCTGTAATCCTTTATTAAAGCCCATTTTTTTTATTCTTTATATCATTTTCCTTTTCATAATTTCCTCAGTACTGTACTTACTGGAGTTTACACTTTCTATTTCGTTTTTTTACTCTTGCTTTAAATCTTCTTATTCTCTAAAGTTGTTAAAACTTCTAAATTCTCTTTTGACAACTGATAACTCTTCATTGGTATGTTTTTTTTCTAAAAAATTATTTTCTAATAAGAAGCTATTTGATTTGATATGCTAATTTTGTGCTGTATTGTTTCGATTATGCTACTTATTTAGATATTACTATGAAAAAATATTGTTTAGAGATTATTCTTGTAAGTTATTACCATTTTGTTAAATTTATTAAGGATAAAGTTTCAAATTATAATATTCATTTGATTAATTTATCAGAAATTATTATTTTTCTAAATGAGAAATAGCAGGAGATAAAATCATTTCGGTTTAATCAGCAGCATAAGTCATCATTTTGTTTGGAGAATTTATCATAGATAATTAAAGTTCTTGATTTTATTTATCATATAATCCATTCGAATTGAGCTATTTTAGGTCATAGTTTCTTTGATAAATATTTGAATTTTCAGAGCTTTTTAAAAATGCTTAATCTTATAAATATTTTAGATAATTATTGTTACTATTTTAAAATGTAAGTTATTTGGAATCATTTTAGTTTTGAGTTTATTCAGGTTTAATTTTTTCTAGCGTTTACTATTTTGATAAATTATTTTAATAATTTTTGAAATCTTCATTTTACTTGATCGGATTTTAATCAGAGTTATCAAAAACATTGGTGAAATCTTTTGTAGAAAAATACTATTGCTATAAAGAATTGGTAAATTCGAAAGTTTATTAACTTTCTTATTTTTAAAATATCTTTGATTCTTTTTTTATTTTTTATTTATTTAAATGATCTAAGATCATAGATTTTTTAACTGTGTTTGTTTCTTTAGAGTAAAAGTCTATTTCAATATACTTAATATCAACTTTATTTTTAGTTTAATAGCTAAAATATCTAAATTATATTTGAAAAATTTCATCGTTTTAAGTCAATAAATTGCTAAATTATTTTGGTTATGGAAAGTGATTTTTATTATTTTAGCTTAAATATTATTCTTTGATAACTAAAACACTGCTTAAATGTATATTTATCTATTAAGTCTTAACAATATCATCAAGAGAAGGAATTAGCTCAAAAATGTTTAATTGCTATTCTGTTCAAAATTAATTAAATAATTTTTATTTTAAAAATAATTTCAAAAAAACTTTAAATATTTTACATTTTTTAAGCCCAAGAGACTGAAATATGTCTACAAATATTCTTTTTGAAAAATCAGTGATGATTCCTTCATTTTCAAAAAATATGTATTAAAATACTTATTTATTTTTCTTAACGAGAGTACAAACTCCTAAATCATTTTCAAAAACTTGTATTTTTATTCTTAAACTAATAGGAAAAACAAAACCATTTTTATCCAAACCAAATACATTTCTTTCTCCTTTATTTATTTATAAAATTATTAAAAACAAAAATAATTTCCTAAGAATAAAAAAAATAACAAATTGTAAATTTTCTAATAAGGTTCATCAAATTTTCAATCAAAAGAAAAATTTTTATAAAAATTTTTGCAAAATTTTTTAGCTTTAGCTATTTATGGATGGATGGATAACTTTCAAAATTAATTGTTTGATACAATTAAAAGATGAATAAATTAATTATATCTGTCAGAATTAAAAATGTGAGGTATTTCTCTATTAAATAACTTAATTTAAAAAATGCATGCTAAGAAATAAAAAATACCTTAGGTAATAATTTCCATTGAATATTCATCAATAAATGCCTAAATCATTGAATTATGTTGCCTTTCAATAAGGTTTGGTATTAAAATATTGAGCTATTTTCCCTGGATGAACTCAGAACTGTAACCAAATATTTTATCAAATGTTTTTGAAGTCTTTTTAATCAAAAATTCTTTTTCTATGAAGGATGTGAAAAACACACATATCTTTTCTGAATTTTAGCCTATCTCAACTAATTTTTTTTAATTATCAGTTTTCTATTTTGAAAGATCCAAAGCTGCTTGCTGAAATTCTTTAACTCTTCTGTTTTAGAAATCAATAAGTTAGATGTATATACTAGTTAGATATTTTAGGTCAAAATCTAAAGGGTTGATTTAAAAAAGCTCAACAATATTTTATTCTAAATTTTAGTTTAAATCTATTAAAGGGAGAGATATATCTTGTAATTTTTGCAATTAAATATAGTTTCCACTTAAATAATCATAGAAATGGCCTATTTGCAATAAAAGAGTACTAAATCTCTCTTTGCATATATTTATTTTATCATCAAATAGAATGGCTTCCATCATATTTAGCTATTAATTTTCTATATTAGAGTCAAATAGCTTTATTTTGTAATCATTTAAAATTTATAGCTTCAACTACTCAAAGTAAAATTAATCTCTTAAATTAATTTTATTCATTTTATTTAAATTGTATATTGATATTTTTTAAAGCTATACGAGTACTCTAGTTGAATTGTTGATTATTTCATAAAGGTAATTCAAATATGAATATTTTAGTAACTAAGAACTCTCGCTCTTGTTTTTTCTCTCTCTGCTTTAGATAAAGGCTTCTATTAATTATAATATAACAAGCTGAGCATATTCTTATATTTCAGATAATTCTTGAATTTTCAATGACTCTTTATTATCCTTTAAGTTAATTTTTGTGTAAAATTTATTATAAAAATATCATTTTAATTAAAAAGTTAAAAATAAAGCAAATTTTTTTGGCATCAATCAAAAAAATATTTTAATGACTTAAAAATATCATTAGTTAATTAATTAAATTTTTAAAAATGTAACAATTTCTTTCTTGTTGTAAGTAATTTATTTCAGAATTAAAAAATTTGTTACGTATCTTCTGAATTTATGGCAAAAACAAAATTGATTATTATCAGTGCATTGCTTTTCGTGAAGTTAAATTATAATTTCATAGTTGACTCCTTATCCTCTTAAAAAGTAGTTATTTTAGCTCAATATTGCTTAATTGAGAAGTATTCTTATAACTTTTAAGAATTTCCAATCTTTGTATTTTTAATGGTCTCTGCTATTTGAAAATTCTTGAAATAGACTTTGATTTTACATTTCTTTGTAGTTTTTGATGATTTAAATTGATAAAGGCACTGTTACTATACAAGCAAAGATCAGATCAATACAATTAAATATATACAATTCTATTAAAAAGCAGAAAGTGATTTGAAGAGAAGAAGCGCATAAATAGAAGTAGATTTAATTGATATCTTTTGATAAAAAGTGATCATCAAATAATAAGAAAGTAACTTCAAGCAGAAAATAGACGAAAGAATAAATAACAACTAATTTTTCTCCTTAAAATTAATATAGAAATATTAAAACTGTTCTTAAAATAGCTAAGAATAATTTTTGCTTACTAGCTTATCGTGCTAAGTAATTGCTTTTTTCTTAAAATGAGTAGCTGATATTATGTACTTCTAAAAAATATCCTATTTATTTATAAAAATAATTAAGTTTCATTTATTATGCTCGTTTACACAGACTTTAATGTTTATCATGTTATAAATGAATTCAATTCATATAATTAATGTCAGTCAGATTTAATCAAAATTTAGCAAATTAAATTGATGAATGAATACACAGAAATTAATTTATATTAAAAAAATAATAATTTAATAAATTACCTATTGCTATAGTTAAAATAACATTTATATAGGATATTATTATAATAGCTAGAGAGTAAGTACCATTATTTTCTGATAGAATATTTAGAGAGATATTAATAAATACATAAAATGGCCATTTATTGTAGATTGTAGTAAATATTTAGAAAAATAATTCGTAATATTTTGTCAGATTCAGTTTTCTAAAAGCAAACAAAAAGACTAAACTAAGGATAAAGAGACTATTTAAGATTAACGAAATAATTACTAATAATATTTTATAATAGATTTATGGGGCGAAATAATCTTTTAGTAATGGTATGATCTATAAATATTTTATAAAGTTTGATATATCATAGATTCTACTTTATTTAATAGTCTGTTGTTATTACATTTAGCTAATGTTTTAGTTCTTTATTGCAAACGAAAGTATAGTTAGACAGTTTATTATGACAATTAAAACTGATATATTTTTAGTCAGATTAATTGGACGAATTAATCTAACCATATGGCTTAAATAAAATTATTTTAGTTTAAAGCTATTAAAGCATTATTTCATTTATAAACCTTTTTAGGTATTTTACCTAGCCTTGGTATTTCTCATTTTATTTATCTTTCTGATTATATCAATTTTTCTTTTTTCTAATTCTTAATTTATTTGAAGGAATATAAACTTTATCTTGATTGATGATAAATAAATTTATTTATAAGATTGTTCTTGGTGATTTAGAGTAGAGATCGAATTTTTCGTAAAAATTAATTAGTTATCTAGATCATTTATTTCTTTCAATTAGATTGTTTGGAAATTTCGAGTGTAAATTTTTCTTATTTTCAATATATTTTTTGTTAAATTAGCATTAAAAAATAGAATTTAAAAAATAATTTCTTTTTCAAATTGATAAAATAATACATTTTAATATAAATATAGGAGTTAAGCACCTGTTTTTAAGGAATAACTAATCTAAAAATATAAATAAATAAAATAGATCAATTTCTCTTGAATAAAACAAAACTTTTATGGGTTCAGTTTTATTAAAATATAAATTAATTAATTAATTTATATACTCCAAACTAGCTGCACTTTTCTTTGATAATTTGAGTAAATAGATCTAATTAAGTACTAATAAATTGAGTATTAATTTATATATAATGGAACTATATTTACCTCATCATTTCTTAACCTTCAGAATTTAAACAAATAAAAAAATTTAATCACTAATCAAATCAGAACCAAGAGAAAAACAAACAACTACAAAAATCACATTTAAGAAATTAAAAATTCTTATTTATTTGCCTGAATATAAATGTTTTTACTATTTAATATTTACTTAATAATAAAGACAATTACATTGTTAGAATTTTGTAAACATATATATATATATCTATATATATGTATGGTTTATTTCTTAATACGAAATATATTTAATTTAGCTTATGAATCCAAAACAAACAAAAAAACAATGATAGCTTTATAAAATGTACTTTTAAATATAAAATATTCAAAATTTTATTTATTTATTATGATTAATTTTAAAAATTATAATTTAATTTTATTATTATATTTTAAAAGTCTATTGAATATGTACCCTTAGGAAGAGAGTTATTTATTTACTATAAATTCAAAATGTCAATCTGGTTTAATTAAGAGTAACTTTTAATCATTAATAAAAGTAAGTTTAAAATTTTACAATTTATTTCAAAATCTTCATAATTATCTAAAATACAAATGATGAGTTATTGATTTTTTATATCTAATAAAATATTATATAATTTGCATTTAAAAAAAGTAAGTTCACTTTTTAAATTTTGAATTTTTACTGAAGAAATTATTCATTTTATTACTAATATTTATTAGGATACAAGGTCCGTTTGTTTTCTATATTTTGATGCCTACTTTTTTTCTAAAAATTAATTTTAAATTTAATGATTTTTTTTTAAAAAGATGATGTTTTTTAAACTTGTCACTCATTTTACAGTTGATAATTTAAATTTAGCTACCATTTTATACTTTAAAACCAGCTTTTGCTATTAATATTGTGCAACCCTATATATATAAATAACATTTTAGGATTTAGTCTTTCAGTATCAAAAATCCTGCTATTTCTATATAGATTTAAATCTTATAATTTTTGGGCTTTATTAAAATAGCATGTTAAGAAATCTTGATTATAAAAAAGAAAGATTTGATCAACAAAGCAAAAATTGTTTTGGAATAACTTGATATTTAAATTTTAAACAACATAATATATTCAATTCCTAATAGGCTTAATTAAATACGTGATATAAAATAAAGGTAAAATTACATAAAATTAAAATTATTGTTATTTTTCAATTTTTTAAAATTTGCTTTTAAATTTTATGAATAAATTCATGCAACCAAACAACCTAATGTATGTTTGAAATGAAGAAACAGCTATTTATTGTATTTTTGATGACTTTTAAAAAGATTTTAATTTGACATTTAAAAAATATATCCTTTTTATAGGCTAATTATCTATCAATCTTCAGCTCCTAATTTGCATTTATTTAAAATATTATTAAATAAATTAATTTTCATAAAGAAGGTTTATGTGGAAAATCGTAAATATTTTAGTTGTATTTCTGAGTTAGCCTTTAAACCAGTAAAAGAGGTAAATCCATCCAATCAAAAATACTATGCAAATAATTATTAATTGGATAATAAAGAAGTAAAGCAAATTTTATTTCAATTAATTTTCATATGATTGTAGCTAGTCATTTTAATACTATCTAATTCCATTAACTGATTCTGAAATTACCTGAATCAGCTATTTAAATTGAATTATTGAATACTAAGTTTGGAAGTAAATGAATTCATCTGTAACTTAGTTGATATCTTAAATTGAATAAATCTGATACAATTCTTAAAATGTTTAGAACACCTTTTAAACTGAAAATATTAATCCTCTTTATAATATTCCATTAAATAAGTTATTGCAGTTTGATTCAGTTATATTAGAGTTAAAATATTAAGGATAATTTTATCTCACTTGGCATACATTTGAATTTAACAAATTCTAGTAAAAATCCACATACATGCCTTAATTATTTCTTTTTCCCTAAAAATCAGAAGTCAAATCTTACAGAAATTAAAAGGATTCTGAGTTTTAATTTTATAGATCTTATAAGTAGGTTTAATAATATGAAGTAGAAGTAGGTGAGCTTGAAAAAATTAGATATATTTATTCCATATTAGGAGACAAGTTTTCAATTATTAATGAAAAAATATCAATTAAAGAAATTCTATCTTGTAGCGTGGCTTTTGATTCAATTTGGAAAGGATTAAATACTACTAAATTTAAAATAGGTATTATTATAAGAAGTGCTACAGCAACTATCCCAAATAAAAACAAGATTAAGTTAAATTTCTTAACATTACTAAAAGAAGCCATTTATCTGTTCCTTTTATCTAGTTATCTTGGAATATATCTAGGAATTTAATTGATTAATGACATATTTAAATTCTTTTATGCTTCGTCAATGTGTTAATTTGAATTAAAATTAAAATCTAATATTTTTTTTACACACTTTTTTTAAATTAAATTTTTTTTATGCATATTTGCACTACTATCAATTTATCCTTACAAGCTATTTTATTCAATTTTAAATAGACCAAGCTCAATTTATTTGATTTGAGACTCAATAATAGAAGGAGAAAATGTACCAAATAATTTTAAAATCTTTTCCTTTTAAACTTGAATCACAGCGAATAGAGGTAATATTGAAAAAATTAGAATAGTGCTTATGATTGCAAATAAAATTATTGCAAATGTTTAATATAAATTCATGTTGTTGAATTGATCTTTGGCATAATTTTAGACAATTAATTGTAAATTTTTCATTCTTTGCTTGAAGTTATAGATATTTCCCCATATAAAATCTTCTTACTGTTCCTCATAATTGAGATAATATAATGCTATTTCATAGAAAAACTCGCCTAAGGTGTATTATAGACTTTGCTGAAAAGTGGTTATTTAATTTTGTTGTCCTTATGCATTGTTGTAAAATCCAGCTGCATAAATTTGAATTTAAAACATGTTGTTTTGCAAATCATAAAGTTAGTCACCACTGTCATTATCCAAAACAAGTTTTTAAAAGTTAGAATTATAGTCTTATAATATTACTTATTACTGATAATCAGTTTAATTATATTCATTCTTTTAAAGATCTAGACTGTCTAAAATAAAGGATTAGCTGAATCCCATTAAACTTTAGTAGTTACTTATACCCAGTAGATTCATTACATCTATAAAGCAATATATAGCATCATCAATTTTCAAAAATGAGTGAATAAATGAGTCTAAGCTATTTAAATTCTAAAAATAAATAATTAAAGATACTATACTAAGAATGATAAAAGCTAAAAATCCAGAGATATTCATTAAATAGAGTCCTTTAGTAAATTCTGTTTTTTTAATTTTTTAAATCATTTTTCTTTTCATAATTTCTTCAGTACTGAATTTGCTAGAGTTAACACTAGCTATTTCGTTTTTTAATTCATCCCTTAATTCTTCTTATTCTTTAAAATTTTTATTTTTTTGTTCATATGGAAAACCATCGCCAAGACTCTCTTCTTTAAATGGATTACAGGAGTTACTTGTTATACTAAGGCTATTATTTTCGATTACATTTTTGTTTTTTTTGTTGAAAATTTTGTTCAGTTTTCTGTGAGAAGAATTCTTGATTAATGATGTCTCTTAAAAATTTTAACAATCTAATTAATTTTATTAATTAAGCTAAAGCATAGAATCTAATTGCTCGTCTGGTTTTATGAGAATTTATTGTCTTTCTTGGCTTAAAATTATAGGTGATAAAATCATCTCTGGATATTCAATTAAGTTTGTTGAAACTCCTACTGGAGAGTTTATTGTTTAATATTATAGTTCTTAGTTTTATTTATCATATACTCCACTTGAAATGATGTATTTTATATCATTCTATTTGAGGTAGGTATTTATAGTTTGATTTTCAAAATTTTTTTAAAATCTTAAGTCTTGTAATTGTTTTTAATGCAAATAATTGCTTTAATGTTGAAGTTTGTATATTTCTTTTAAGTTTAGAGTTTTATCTGTTTTACTTTATTATTTTTATAAGCTATTTAAGCAATCTTCTTTAATATTAATATTTATTAAATCTTAATTTTCAATTATTTATGAGAAATCACGAGTAGAAAAAAATTGTTGTTACAATGAATTTAAAATATCTAAGCTTTATTAATTTTCATCATTTTTTTAAAAACTTTAAGATTCTTTCAAAATTTTCTATTTATTCAACTCATCTAAGATAAACATTTTTTTAACTGGGCAAGTCTCCTTTTGATAAGAAATTATTTAAATGTAGTTGGCATCAACTTAGTTCTTGGTAGAATATTTAAAATATTTAAACTTGATATGAAAAACCTGATCACTTAAAGTAAAATAATTATTAATATTTTTAGGTGATTAAACATAATTTTCGAGAGGAGTTTATTTTTGATAAGGTACTAAGTTTGATGAATCTTTTATAATTAAGAAGCCATTACTTTCTTTGTTTAACTATTTAGTCTGAACTATGCTCTCAAGAGAGGGAACCAGGTCAAATATGTTAAATTATGTACCTATTAAAAGACAATTTTTGTTTAAAACTATAAATATTGGAAAATTATTGTTTTTGAAAGGAAAATAATATACCAATTTTATAGCCATGAGATTAAAATATGTCAAGAAATATTTTCTTAGAAAAATCAGTAACTATTCCTTAGTTTTCAAAGAACATATAAGAAAAAACTTATTTTTATTTTTGAATTAAGGAGCAAACTCCGAAATCATTTTCAAAAACTTGTATCTTAATCCTCAAGCTAATAGGAAAAACAAATCCATTTTTATCCTATGCAAACACATTTCTCTCTCCTTTGATTTAATTAAATAAATAAAACTAGGATAAATACCTTAAATCATCATAAATTAATTACATAAAAAACATTTAAAATTTTCTTAGTTTAGTATTGTAAATTTATGATATATTACAATTAATTTAAAATTTTAAAAAGTAAATTAAAATAAATTACCTTAGATGATAATATTCATAGATTGCTCATCAATAAATTATTAAATCATTTAATTATGATGTTTTTTTAACATATTTGGGATTAAAAGGTTTAATGGCTTTCCTTGAATGTAATCAGAATCATATCCAAATATTTTTTTAAATTGGTTTGTAGATTTATTAACTAAGAAGTCTTTTCCAATCAAAGAAGTGAATAAAACGCATGTTTTAGACAATTCTTAATTGATTTAGATAACTTTTTTTTACTTATTAGAGTTCCTTATTGAAATTTATTTAGCAGTTTCCTAAAATTCTTTTATTCTTCTATTTTAGAAATCTAAGAGCTATGTATAAATGCTTGTTAGATATTAAAGATCTAAGTCTTCGGAATTTATTTAAAACAAATCAATTATGATTTATTCTAATTCTTTTTTTAAATTTATTAAAGGGGAATACATACTTTCTAAATCATCTAAGCAAATAAAATTTCCACATAAAAAATCATAAAAATGACCAACTTTAAATAAAACTTTTTGCATCTTTTCTTTTAAGACATTAATTTTTTCATCAAATAGAATGACCTCCATCATATTTATATTTTAATTTTCTATGTTAGAATCAAATATTTTCATTTAATAATCGCTTAAAATTTATTCCTTTAGAGATTAAAAATAAAACTTCTCATTAAGTCCAATATTTTGATCATTCAAATAGCTTATAGACATTTGTTAAAGATATACAAGAACTCTAACTGGATCATTGATAATATCATAAAGGTAGTTTAAATGTGATAATTTTAATTAACTAAGGTTATCATTTTAGTGATTACTGTGAATATAAATTTCAAATAATTCTAAAATAACTTTGTTAGCATATTCTATTCTAAATTGTTAAGCTTAAAATTCTTCTATCTTTAAAGTTTAATTATCATTCTATTTATTAAACATTAAATATTAATTAATATATAAAAATAAATGTAATAATTTACTAAAATGATAGAAATTATAATAGAAAATTTAATGTTTGTTTTAATCAAAAAGTAATTATTTTCAAAATAAAATAATCACAAAAGAGAATTGATTTTTGAATTAAATATTTTAAATATGTTACAGATCTTCTGTACTTGCTACAAAAGCAAGATTAGTTGCGATTTTTGCAGTTTTATTCATGGATTTGAATAATCGTTTCATACTTAATTCCTTATCCTCCTTATAAATAGTTTTCTTAGCTTAGCATTACATGATCAAAAAGTATTCTTATATTTACTAAGAATTTAGAGGCACTGCATTATAAAATGTCTGTTTGATTAGAAAATTAATCAAACATATTTTCCGCTTATTTCATTTTGTAATTATTAATTAACTAAATTGATACGGGTACTGTAATAATGCACGCAAAAGTAACATCACTATTTTAAAAAATAAAAGTTTGTATCAAAATACAAAGTGATATTTGTAGTGATGTAGCACTTAAATAGTAATTAATTTTATTAATATCTTTTGATAAATACTCATCATTGATTATTAGCAAAGTAACCTCTAAAAGAAAATAGAAAAAGGAGTAAATAGCAACAAATTTGCTTCCTTAAAACTAATACAGAAAAATCAATATTATTCTTAGAAATAATAATAAATATTTTTGGTTATTTGATTGTTTTGCTAAATAGTTTTGCTATTCTCTAAATTAATAGCTGAAGTCATGAATCTCCAAGAAATATCCTATTTAATAAAAAAAACGATGGTCTTGCTAATTTTTTTACTACTCTCTTGTTTAATGAAGTAATCAAATTAATTAAAAATCTACAGTAAAAATAACAACTAATATTATTTAACAAATTAATTAATAATTTAAATTAGATGGATAGAAAGAGAGGTAGAAAGATAGATAGATACAATTACAAAATTTTATTAGAATTTAAAAGTAATAAAATTAATTAATTTACCTATGGCAAGATTTAAGATAGTATTGAAATAAGATATTACTACAATAGAAGTAGAGTGTTATTAGGTGTTATCTGATATAATATAAAAGCAGATATTAAGAGATACATAGAGAGGCCATTTATTGTATAGTGTTGTATATAAAGATAAGTATATTTTGTAGTATTTTGATAGATTGAATTTTCTAAATGTATAAGCAGAAGATAAAAAAAGAATAAAAAAAATGTTTAAGATTAATGAGATTATAGCAATTGTAGCATAATTAGAGGTTAATTGAGGAAAATATTCATCTAGAAATGGCTTAATTTAAAGATATTTAATGTAATTAGACACTTCATTGAATCTTCTTTATTAAATAATTTATGTTTGCTGATTTAAATTTCTATCATCATTCTTTAATGCAAATGAAAGTACAACAATACTATTAATTATGATCATAAAGATAGAAATATGTTTGCTTAGATGGATAGGACGAATTAATTTTATCAGTTCATTCATGTAAAATTATTTCAGCTAAATACTAAGACTGCTTATATTGGTTGAAGAATCCTTTTGGATAGTTTGTTTGGCATTCATATCTTATTATTTAGTTTATTTAATTGTTTACCAATTTATTATTCTTTTTTGTAATAAAAATTAATTTGATTTCTCAAATCAATAATGCAAATAAGAAGAGTTTTTGATATTTTAGATTTTTCAATTACTAAACTGAAGATCTTTAAAAAGAGTGACTGATATAATGTTTGAGAAATGTAAGCTTAAAATTTGCTCATTGCTAATAAATAAATACTAGCTTAAATAAATTAGAATTTAAAAAAAAAGAAAAATCAAAGCAAATTTTTTAGGGTTTTTGGCATAAAAATATTTCGCTGCTAAAAATTTTAACTAAAACTTTAATATTTTATAAATAATATAGAATTTTTGTATTTATATTTACAAATAGTAGTCATTAAAAATTCAAGCTTTAATGCCTTATTTAACTCCCATTTCTATTATATGATAACAATAAATCTATTACTAATGAATACATATAAAACATAAATACCATTTTTAAAATTAATTTAAATATTTCATTCATGCTAATTTGAGTTTTATTTTTGTATTTATATTCATGCTAAAATTTAATAGAGCAAATTAAAACATTAGGATGCTGCAAACTTCCTTTTTAATTTGAGTAAATTTATTAGAAAAGGGAATAAAAATTGATTTCTTAATGATTACAATTTTTTAAATTTCAATACTCATAATTTTTTTAAGACTTTTACTAGCCTCAAAGTTTTTAATAGATATGTTTGTATTTGTATTTGTTTCAAAGTTAAGCATAAGAAAAACATAAATATTAATTTAGAAAATAAAATCATAAAAACTATTTACTCTTTATAAAAAGAACATTTAACTAGCATGCTCATCAAACTCTTAAGATAAATTTGCCACTAATTTCTATCAAATATTTTATATTTGATAAAGCACAATCATTTATTTATTTATCTTCATTATATATTTATTTTTACATAAAAACTCTTCAAATTAAGTAAATATAAAACATAAGCTTCGCTTCTTTTATCTTTAAAAGATGGAAAAATTAGATTTTTAATATAATATTTTTGTAAATTTTAAAAATCTAAAATGAATAACTTACTTAAAACAAATTAATCACTTAAGAGTGATGATGAGTTTGATGAAAAAATATATTTTTCTTCTTATTATTAATAATAATTATATTTCTAAATACATTTTTTTTACCATTTATGAATGTTTTGTTTAATAGGCAAATAAATAAATTTATAGATAAATGAAAATCTTAGTTAGCTTACATTTCAAAAAGTTAATTTTAATGATGTTTACAACATAAATCTTTAGTGGTATTAAAAAAATAGAATGCAAGTTAATTAATTAATTAATTAAGTAATTAAGCATTTTTTAATGATTATCATAAATAATTTATTATCTAATAATATTAAAAATATTACTGGTTAATTTTTCCATTTGATCTGCGGAATTTCAAAGGATTGATTGTAAATATAAAATAAACTTTTTAACAATTTACATAAAATATTTTTAGATTTTGATTTTTTTACTTATAAATTCGCATATAGTCAAAACCTGACCTAATAATCTATCTAAAGATTTAAGTAAATAAATATTTTTAGAAATATTTAATATGACATTGATTCAATCTTGTTTAGCTTTTTAATTTACTGTAAATTGTAAGCATCAGGAAGGAAGCTGTAATAAAAGTTTTTTAGATTGTAAATTTCTCAAAATTCTTGCATTAATTTATCAGAAATTCAAAGATTCTAAAAACTAAGAAAAAATTTTTTACCATAACTAAATTAGTTCAATTTAACTATATATCAGATATTGTTTATGGATTTTTGCTTAATTTTAATTAAATATTATTAAAATAATTCTATAAAACTGAAATAACATATAATCTTAAGAAATTTATTTTTATGAATATTAAAATATATCTTTTTCGAATACATTATTTTAAATAAAAAAGAATAGGTGACATATTTTATAATGTTTAAAATTTTAAGGTAAACAAAAGTATAATTAATAAACATTCAATATTATTCAAATAAAAATATTGTAACCAAATATTATTTTAATGATTATGAAATATAAATGAGTTTGGTTGTACTATATTTATTATTCTTTATTCAACTTTACTTCTATGAGATTTTTCTAAAGTATGATTAAATAAAATCATTTTCATAGAGAAGATTTATATGAAATAGTGTGAATATTTTGGTAGCCCTTTGGAGTTAGTTTCTAAACCATTAAAAGAGGTAGAGCCAACCTATCAAAAATACAAGACAAATAATTACTAATTGAATTATAAATAAATAAAGCAAATTCTGCTTTAAATTGATTTCATATTATTACAACTGTTCATTTTAGTACTGTCTTATTGCATTTACAACCTCTGAGATTACTTGAATTAACTGCTTAAATTCTATAAACGAATAAGATTTTTATAGATACTTAAATGATTTGATCAGCACATGAATATCTTGAATTTAATAGATTTAATATATTTCTTAAAATGTCTAAAACACTTTTTAGATTGAGAATATTAAACCTCGTTACAATATTCCATTAAATAATTAGTTGCATCGAGATTAAGTTATATTTGAATTAAAATATTAAGGATAATTTTCTCTAACAGAGCACACGTTTTCATTTAATAGATTTTAATAAAAATCCATGAATATTTTTTAATTATTTCGTTCAACTCCTAAGTCGGCAGTTAAATTTTAAAAGTATTAGAAGACTTAGTTATTTTAATCTTAGAGATTTTGTATATAGCTTTAATAGTAAGAGGTCTAAGGTGGTATACCAATAGCTATTAAATAAACTTGCTCCATTTATGGAGATTAGTTTTCAATTATTAAAGACAAGACATCAATTAAAGAAATTCTATCATTCAGAGTAACTTTTGATTCTCTTTCAAAAGGATTGAATTCAACAAAATTTAATATTGGAATGATTAGTAACAGAGCTACAGCAATAATTCCTAAAAAAAATAAAAAAAAATTGAATTTTGGAATTTTGCTAAAAGATGCTATTTGTCTAGTTCGTTTATCTGCTTTTCTTTGAACATAAAGAGGAATTTGATAGTTTAATTTATTTTCATATTTTTATTCTTGATCTTACTAATTCGAATAGAAATTTAAATCCCTTACTTGTTATATTTACTTTCTTTTACTTGTAGATCGTTTATTAGAGTAAGTGCTGTTATTTGTTTGCTCCAAGATATTGATTTACTCGATTTTAAAAAGGCCAAGCTCTATTTGCTTTATTTAAAATTCTATTATCGAAGGTTAAAACGTTCCAAATAGCTTCAAAATTTTTTCTTTGTAAATTTGAATTAGAATGTTAAGAGGTAAAACTGAAAATACTAAAAATGCGCTGATAGAAGTAAATAAAACAATAGCAGATATCTACTACAAATTCATTTTATTAAATTACTCTGTCGCATAATTTTCTACAATCAACTGTAAATTTTTCATTCTTTATTTGAAACTGACGATGTTTCCCCAAATAAAATCTTCTTGCGACTCCTCAAAACTAATATAATAATATCTTATTTCATAGAAAAATTACATCAGAGTGTATTGTAGACTCTATTCAAAAGTAGTGGTTGAGTTTTTTTAAACTCTATTATTATTGTAAAATCCAGAAGAGTAAATTTAAACTTAAAATAAATTATTTTATAAATCGTTAAGCTAATCGGTACTATCGTTATTAAGAACAATATTTTATAAGTTAGCACTGTAATCTTTCAATATCGCTTATTGTTAATAATCTGATTGTTTATACTCCTAATTTTAAAGATCTAGCTTATCTATAATTAAAGATTAACCTCCCAAAACGGATTAGTAATTATTGAGTGCAACAAAATTCATTATATCAATAAAGCAGTAAAGAGCATGATCAATCTTTAGAAATGATAAAACAAAAGAATCTAAACTATTTAAATTTTCAAAATATATGATAAGTGATACAATACTTAAAATAACAAATGCTGAAATTCCTGCTAAAACCATAAGCTGTAATCCTCTATTAAAATCCTTTTTTTTTATTCTTTGTATCATTTTCCTTTTCATTATTTCCTCAGTACTGTACTTACTAGAATTTACGCTAGCTATTTCATTTTTTTACTCTTGCTTTTAATCATCTTATTCTCTAAAGTTGTTAAAACTTCTAGATTCTCTTTTGTTAACTGATAACTCTTCACCAGTTGTTTTTTTTCGCTAAAAATTATTATCGAAGAAGCTATTTTATTTGATATGCTAATAATGCGCTATGTTGTTTTTACTATGCTACCTATTTAGATTTTAGTAGGAAGAAATGTTGTTTAGAGATATTTCTTGTAAGTTGTTACTATTTTGTTAAACTTATTATGAATAAAGTTTTAAATTATAATTTTCATTTGACTAATTTATCAGAAATTATTGTTTTTCTTAATAAGAAAAAGCAGGAGATAAAATCATTTCTGTTTAATCTACAGCACTAGTTAGAACTTTGTTTGGAGAATTAATCATTGATAATTAAAGTTCTTAATTTTATTTATCAGATAATCCATTTAAATTGAGCTATTTTAGCTCATAGTTTCTTTGATTAATATTTGAATTTTCAGAGCTTTTCTAAAAAGCTTAATCAGATAAATATCTTAGATAATTATTGTTACTATTTTAAAATGTAAGTTTATTGGTATCATTTTAGTTTTAAGTTAATTCAGTTGTTTTACTGGATTTACTTTTTTCTGTTTGCTATTTTTAAAAATTATTTTAATAATGTTTTATATCTTCCTTATATTTGTTCGGATTTTAATCAGAATTATCAAAAACATAGGTGAAATCCTTTGTAGAAAAACATTATTGATATTAAGAGTTGGCGAATTCTATAGTTTATTAGCCTTCTGATTTTTGAAATATTAAAGATTCTTTTTTTATTTTTTATTTATTTAATTGATCTAAAATCATAGATTTTTTAACTGGGTTTGTTTCTTTTGAGTAAAAATCAATTTCAATATAATTAACATCAACTTTATTTTTTGTTTGACGACTAAAAAATCTAAATTATATTTGAAAAATTTCATCATTTTGTGTCAATAAATTGTTCACTTATTTTGGTTGTGAAAAGCGATTATTACTAGTAAAGGTTGAATACTATTCTTTTACAACTAAAACAGCGCTTATATGTTTATTTATCTATTAAGTATTGATTATCTCCTCAAGAGATGGAATTAATTCAAAAATATTTAGCTATTGTTCTGTTCAAAATTAATTAAATAATTTTTATTTTTAAAATAATTTAAAAAAAACTAAATATATTACATTTTTAAATTCCAAGAGATTAAAATATGTCTACAAATATTCTCTTCGAAAAATCAGTGATTACTCCTTCATTTTCAAAAAATATGTAAGAAAAAATTTATTTATTTTTCTTAACAAGAGCGCAGACTCCTAAATCGTTTTCAAAAACTTGTATTTTAACTCTTAAACTAATTGGAAAAATAAAACCTTTTTTATCCAAGCCAAATAGATTTCTTTCACCTTTATTTATTTAATCATAAAATTATTAAAAATAAAAATAATTTTTTAAAAAATAAAAAATGTAAATTTTCTAAGAAGGTATAGCTAGACGCCCAATTAAAATCATGTGGTTTGGGTATTAATTGATAAAATTAAAAGATATATAAATTATATTTGACACATTAAAAATGTGAGGTATTACAGTATAATGTAACTTAATATTAAAAATCGATTCTAAGAAATAATAATACCTTAATAAACAATGTCCATAGATTATTCGTCGATAAATGACTAAAGCATTTGGTTGTGTTACCTTTTAATAAGATTTGGTATTAAAATATTTAGCTATTTTCCCTGGATGAACTCAGGACTGTAACCAAATATTTTATCAAATTCTTTTGAAGTCTTTTTAATCAAAAATTCTTTTTCTATGAAGGATGTGAAAAACACACAAATTTTTTCTGAACTTTAGCCTATTTCAACTAATTTTTTTTAATTATCAGTTTTCTATTTTGAAATATCCAAAGCTGTTTACTGAAATTCTTTAATTCTTCTGTTTTAGAAATCTATGAGCTAGATATATATACTAGTTAGATATTTTAGGTCAAAATCTGAAGGGTTAATTTAAAAAAGCTCAATAATATTTTATTCTAAATTTTAGTTTAAATTTATTAAAGGGACAGACATTTCTTCTAACTGATGCAATTAAATATTGTTTCCACTCAAAAAATCATAGAAATGACCTATTTGCAATAAAAGAGAACTAAATATTTCTTTGCAAGTATTTATTTTATCATCAAATAGAATGGTTTCCATCATATTTAGCTATTAATTTTCTATGTTAGAGTCAAATAGCTTTGTTTAATAATCATTTAAAATTTATAGCTTCAATTACTCAAAGTAAAATAAATTAATCAAACTAGTTTTATTTGTTTTATTTAAAATATATATTGATATTTTTTAAATCTATACTAAAGCTCTAGTTGGATTATTGATTATTTCATAAAGATAACTCAAATATGATAATTTTAGTAAGTAAGAAATTTCTCTCTAGTTGTTCTTTTGACTGCTTTAGATAAATACTTCTATTAATTATAATATAACAAGCTGAGCATATTCTTACCTGAAATGCTGCTCAGATAATTCCTCAATTTGCAATGACTCTTTATTCTCCTTTTAGTTAGTTTTTATATAAAATTTATTCTAAAAATATGATTTTATAAAGGTGTTGGATAAAGCCAGTTTATTTGGCATCAAACAATCAATCTTTTATAAAATTTTAATGACTTAAAAATATGTTAAGCTAATTAAATGATTAAATGTAAGAATTTCTTTTGTTAAAAGTAATTATTTCAGAATTAAAAAATATGTTACATTTCTTCGAAATTTTTGACAAAAACAATATTGGTTATTTTGAGCGCATTGCTTTTTATGAAGTTAAATTATAATTTCATAGTTGATTCCTTATCCTCTTAACAAGTAGTTATTCTAGCTTAATACTGCTTAATCTAGAAGTATTCTTATAACTTTTAAGAATTTCTAGTCTTTATATTATAAAAGGTCGCTGCTATTTAAAAATTCTTAAAATAGTCTTTGATTTTACATTTATTTGTAGCTTTTGATGATTTGAACTGATAGAGGTACTGTAACTATACAAGCTAAAATCAGATCATTACTTTTAAAAATATACAATTCTATTAAAAAGCAGAAAGTGATTTGAAGAGAAGAAGCACATAAATAAAAGTAGATCTAATTAATGTCTTTTGATAAATAGTAGTCATCAAAAAGCAAGAAAATAACTTCAACTAGAAAGTAAATGAAAGAATAAATGGTAACTAAGTTATGTCCTTGAAATTAATATAGAAATATTAAAATCGTCCTTAAAATAGCTAAGAATAATTTTTGCTTACTAGCATATTGTGCTAAGTAATTGCGTGATTCTTAAAAAGAGTAGCTGAAACTATGTACTTCTAAAAAATATCCTATATTGTTTTTAAAAATAATTAGATTTTTTCTTAAACTTGTTTACAAGATTCTTCAACTTATGAATGAATTCAATTAAAATAATGACAAATTTTAAAAATAATTAATGTTATATTTAATCAAAATTTAGCAAATTAGATACATGAATACACAGAAATTAATTTTAATTAAGAAAATAACCATTAATAAATTACCTATTACTATAGTTAAAATGGCATTTAAATACGACATTAATATAATACCTAGAGTGTATATATCACTATTTTCTGAAAGAATATTTAGAGAGATATTCATAAATGCATAGAATGGCCATTTATTGTAGATTGTTGTAAATATTTAGAAAAATAATTCAAAATATTTTGTGAGATTGAGTTTTCTAAAAGCAAACACAAAGGCTAAACTTAGAACAAAGAGACTATTTAAGATTAACGAAATAATTACTAATGATATTTTATAATTGTTTTATGGGGTGAAATAATCTCTTAGTAATGGCACGATCTATACATATTATATAAAATTTGATATATAATAGATTCTACTTTATTTAGCAGCTTGCTCTTGTTACATTTAGTCAATGCTTTAGTTCTTTAATGCAAATGAAAGTATAGTGAGACAGTTTATTATGACAATTATAGCTGATATATTTTTAGTCAGATTAATTGGACGAATTAATCTAACCATATCGTTTATATAAAACTATCTCAGCTTTAAGTTGTTAAAATATTATTTCACTTATAAATCTTTTTACATTGGTTACTTTACCTTGATATTTCTCATTTTATTTATCTTTCCTATTATTAAAATTTGATTTTTTTCTAACTCTTTATTTGAATGAATAAAAATTTATATTTTGATAGATAATAAATTTACTTATAAGATCAGTTTTTGGAGATTTAGAGCTAGCTATAATCTTTTATTGAAAATTTATTAGTTATCTAGCTAATTTATTTATTACTTTTAATAAGATTTTTTGATAAATTTTTTGCTAAATTATCATAAAAAAATAGAAGTTGAAAAATATTTTCCTTATTGAAATTGATAAGGAATCCATTTTAATTTAAACATAGGAAGTTTAAAAACAGTTTTGTAAGGAATAATTAATCTAGAAATTTAAATAAATAATATAGATTAATTTCTTTTGAATAATTAAAGAAAACTTGTATATCCTCCCTCACCTTTATTCAATAGAAATTAATTAAAATACTCCCACACTGCACTTTTCTATTATGATATTAGTAAATAAATATATTGATTTAGATCCCAATCAATCAATTAAATAAACATTACTTAATATATTTTGGAAATATATTTATCACATTTTTTTATAGACCTTCCATATTATTTGTAAACAAAGAAAAAAATTGAATCAGTAACTAAATCAAAATTAGAAGAAAAACTAATCTAAAGATCATATTTAAGTAATTAAGAGTTCTTATTTGCTTGGATAAAAGAGTTCAACCTTTAACATTTTCTTAAAAAACAAAGAAAATCACATTATTAGAAATTAGTAAACATATATATTTAGTTTATTAAGCATTTAAAATATAATATATTTAAATGATACTTATAAATCCAAAACAATTCTAGTTTTATAAATTTTATCCTTATATTTTTAATATTCAAAATTATTTTTATTTATGAATAAATTTAAATAATATATTTGATTTTATTATAGTCTATTGAATACGTATCTTTTTAGGAATAGAATTATTTATATACTATAAACTGAAGGTATCAATCAGCTGCATATAAGTGCGAATTTGAATAATTAATAAATTTAAAAAAAAATAAATATTTTAATTTTTATCAAATTATAAAATTAAAGGAAAGGATTTACATTTAAGTGTTAAATAAAATATAATAACTCATTTGATTTCTAAGATAAATATGAGCAATTCCATAAATATTTTGAATATTAATTATATAGCAAAATCATTGATTTGTTGAATTAATATATAGAAAGATGTTAAAAAATGATTAAATTTTAGTTTTATTTTAATATTCTTCTTTATATTTATGCTAGCTATTGCTTATAAAAAATTAGATTTTTATCATAACCATTCTTGTTTTAAATAATTAGTAAGTTAAGATTAATAGCTTAAACCAAATAACCTACAAAATAATTAGCTCTAAATCTCTTTTTATAAATAATATCATTTCTACTATCATCCTTCAAATATTAATAAGCAATTAAATAAATAAATAGATAGATAATCATAACATAGAATATTTAGCTTTCGTTTAAAATTAACTAAATATTTTGCTTTTTGCATAAATCCATCATAGGGTTGATGAGGAAAGAAAGCATATTAATATTAATAAAGAAATTAAGCGCTTTTATGAAATAACAAAAAATATTTCGTTAATCAAATAATATCAAAAATTTACTAATTTTTTAAATTTATTTTTTTTATAAATGTTGATTGCAAATACCAAACTTATTTTTAATAATTTAAAATAAGAACTTATTTTAATATAATTTTTAAAAATGACAAATGATTAATATCTATTTAACATTTATATAAAAAAATATATTATATGTCATAAATTTATTATTAATTTTATCTTATGTACATTTTGAATTTCCTGTAAATTGTAAGCATCAAGAAATTAATGCAAAAAAAATTTTTGCAGCTAAATATTGTAAACTTACAATTTATTCTTTTTTAATTAATTATTATATGAAAGTGATGGCCTAATAAAGTAAGATTACATTTTTTGAAACAATTAAATTAGTTCTACTGACTTAATATTAATAGTGTATCGTTAAAATATTCCATAAAATTGAAATAGCACGGATTAAGAAGATTCGGAATTCTTTATTTAAAATAATAATATATCTTGATTGCATGTATTATTTTTAATTTAGTGAATTAGCGAATCAGCTAATTAAATATGCACCTAATTCATAGAGAACCTCTAATTGAGCGCGCATTTTTGGTTGCTCAGCGTGCAAAATTAATTAAAATTTACAGGTGCGCTGTTTTAAAATTTATTATTCCGTGCACTAGTTCTCTGTGTACCAGATATCCATTTATGTTTTACTACTTGTATTAGTTGCTTAATTAATAAGATAATTTAAAGGAATTTAAATCAAAATTCATTGAAAAAGAAATATGATGAATAAAACTATTAAACAAATAAACAAAAACGTAGATATTATTTTAAAGTTTATGAAATATATATGTAAATGATCTATATTTTATTACTCTTTTTCAACTTGTATGTTTCTACGAAATTTTTCGGAAGTATGATTAAATAAAATCGTTTTCATAAAGAATATTTATGTGAAATAGTGTGAATATTTTGGTAGCTCTTTATAGTTAGTTTCTAAACCAATAAAAGAGGTATAACCAGCCTATCAAAAATACTACGAAAATAATTACTAATTGAATAATAAATAAATAAAGCAAACTCTGCTTTAAATTGATTTCATATTATTATAACTGTTCATTTTAGTACTGTCTTATTGCATTTACAACCTCTGAGATTACTTGAATTAGCTGCTTAAATTCTATGAATGAATAAGAATTTTATAGATACATAAACTAGTTGATAAGCTCAGTAAAATCTTGAATTTAATAAATTTAGTAAAATTCTTAAAATGTCTAAAAAACTTTTTATATTGAAAATATTAAACCTCTTTGCAATATTCCATTAAATAATTTGTTGCATTACGATTCAGTTATATTTGAATTAAAATATTAAGGATATTTTTATCTAACTGAGCACAAGTTTAAGTTTAATAAATTCTAATAAAAATCAATGAACATTCTTTAATTATTTCGTTCAACTCCTAGATCAATAGTTAAGTTTTAAAGCTATTTAAATACTTGCTTGTTTTAATCTTATAGATCTTGCATATAGCTATAAAAGTAAGAAGTCTAAGGTGGTTAGCCAATAGATACTAAATACACTTACTCCATATGCGGTGATTAGTTTTCTATTATTAAAGAGAAAACATCAATTAAAGAAATTCTATCTTATAGAGTAGCTTTTGATTCTCTTTCAAAAGGATTGAATTCGACTAAATTTAAAATTGGCATTATAAGCAAGAGAGCTACAGTAACAATTCCTAAAAAAAATAAAACAAAATTGAATTTTGGTAGATTGCTAAAAGATGCAATTTATCTAGATCGCTTATCTGCCTATCTTTGAATGTATAAAGGAATTTGATATTTTAATTAATTTTCCTATTTTTATTCTTCTTCTTACTAATTAGAGTAGAAATTTAAATCCCTTACTTATTACAATTACTTATTTATATTTTTAGATCTTCTACAAGTGTAATTACTATTGTTGGTTTGGTCTAAAGTGGTAATTTACTCTATTTTAAATAGACCTAGCTCTAATTGTTTTATTTAATATTCTATTATCGAAGGTTAAAAAGTGCCAAAGAGCTTCAAAACCTTTTCTTTGTTAATTTGGATTACAATGTTAAGAGGTAAAACTGAAAATACTAACAACGTGCAAATAAAAGTAAATAAAGCAATAGTAGATATTTACTAGAAATTCATTTTATTAAATTAGTCTTAAGCATAATTTTCCACAATCAATTACAAATTTTTCATACTTTATTTGAAACTGGAGATATTTCCCCAAATAAAATCTTCTTACTGCTCCTCATAATTAAGATAATAAAATGTAATTTCGTAGAAAAACTACAATAAAGTGTATTATAAACTCTGTTAAAAAGTAATGGTTGAGTTTTTTTAAACTCTAGAGCTATTCTAAAAACCATCAGCATAAATTTGAACTTAAAATAACTTGTTTTGTAATTCATTAAGCTAATCTCTGCTATCGTTATTCAAAACAAGTTTTTATAAATTAGCATTATAATCTTTCAGTACCATTTTTTGCTCATATTCTGATTGTTAATTCTAATAATTTTAAAGGTCTAAATCATCTATAATCAAAGATTAGCTTTATCCCAAAACTGATTAGTAGTTATTCATTGCAACAATATTCATTACATCGATGAAGCAATAAAGAGCATCATCAATTTTTAAAAACGATTAAACAAAAGAATCTAAGCTATTTAAATTCTCAAAATATATAATTATAGAAACAATACTAAGAATGACAAATGCTAAAATTCCTGTTAAAACCATAAGCTATAATCCTTTATTAAAATCCTTTTTTTTAATTCTTTGTATCATTTTCCTTTTCATAATTTCATCAGTACTATACTTGCTAGAGTTTATGCTAGCTATTTCATTTTTTTACTCATGCTTTAAATCTTCTTATTCCCTGTAGTTGTTAAAACTTCTAGATTCTCTCCTTTTTACTGATAATTCCTAACTAATAATATTTTTTTGTAAAAAAGGATTATCTAAGCAGCTATTTTATTTCAGGTAATTATGTTAATTAGGCGTTATATTGTTTCTACTTGGTAACTTATTCAGATATTAGTATGAAGAAATATTATTCAAAGATATTTCTTGTAAATTGCTGTTCTTTTGTTAAACTTATTATGAATAGAGCTTCAAATTAAAATATTCATTTGACTAATTTATCAGAAATTATTACTTTTCTTGATAAGAAAAAGCAGGAGATAAAATCATTTCAGTTTATTCAATAGCGCTAGTAAGTATTTTATTGTTTGGAGAATTTATTGTTGATATTTAAAGATCTTGTTGATTTTATTTATCTTAAAATTCATTTGAATTTAGTTATTTTAATTCATTTTTTCTTTGATAAATATTTAGATTTTCAGAGTTTTTGAACAACATTTAATCTTATAAGTATTTTAGATAAGTATTGTTATTATTTTAAGGTATAAATTTGTTGCTATCAAATTAGTTTTGAGTTTGTTCATTATTGTTAGAAATATTTTTTTCTTTTGTTTACTATTTTAAAAAATAATTTTGATAAATTTTTATATCTTCCTTATATTTGGTCGGGTTCTAATCTTAACTTTCAAAGACTTAGGTAAAATCTATTGTTGAAAAATGCTATTGTTATAAAGAGCTGAGATATTCTAAAAAAGTTTATTAGCTATCTGATTTTTGAAATATCATTGATTCTCTCTATATTTTTTATTTATTTAACTGATCTAAGACCATTAATTTTTTAACTGGGTTTGTTTCTTTTGAGTAAAAATCTATTTCAATATACTTAATATCAACATTATTTTTAGTTTAACGACTAAAAAATTTAAATTAGATTTGGAAAACTTCATCGTTTTGTGTGAAATAATTATTAATATATTTGGGCTATGAAATGTGATTTTCATGATTTAAATTTAAGGCTGAATATTAATCTTTTACTACTAAGACACTGCTAAAATATTTGTTAGTCTATTAGGTCTTAACTATCTCCTCAAGAGAAGGAATCAACTCAAAAATGTTTAACTATTATTCTATTTTAAAAAAAATAATTTTTAATTTAGTTATTTAGTGAAAGAGTTTGGAATTTAATTTGGTAAATATTTATAAAATTTTACATTTTTTCAATCCATGAAATTAAAATATGTCTAGATATATTTTCTTTGAAAAATCAGTGATTATTCCTTCACTTTCAAAAAACATATAAGAAAAATTTTATTTATTTTTCTAAGCGAGAGCACAGACTCCCAAATCATTTTCAAAAACTTATATCTTGATTCTTAAACTAATAGGAAAAATAAAACCTTTTTTATCCAAGCCAAATAAATTTCTTTCTCCTTTATTTATTTATAAAATTGATTTTAAATAAAAATAATTTTTTAGAAAATAAGAAAATAAATAAATAAATTATTAACATATTGCATAAATGTGAAAACACAATATTTTCCAAAAAAACAAAAATATTTTTAAAAAATTTTTATACCCAAATTTTATAGATACTAAATTTTATTTGATAGGAAGGAAAATGTGATGAATTGCAGTGTTAAAAAATTTAAATTTGTTTAAAAGTAAAAAATACCTTAGGTAATAATTTCCATCGCTTATTCATCAATAAATGCCTAAATCATTAAGTTATGTTGTCTTTTAATAAGATTTGGTATTAAGATATTTAGCTATTTTCCTTAGATGAACTCAGAACTGTAACCAAATATTTTATCAAATGTTTTTGAAGTCTTTTTAATCAAAAACTCCTTTTCTATGAAGGATGTAAAAAATACACATGAATTTTCTGAGAATTAGCTTGTATCAGCTAACTTTTTTTTCTTGTCATTTTGCTATTTTGAAAGGTCCAAACCAGCTTAATGAAATTTATTAACTCTTCTGTTTTAGAAATCTATGAGTTAGATGTATATACTAGTTAGATATTAAAGATCTACATCTAAAGGGTTGATTTAAAAAAGCTCAATAATATTTTATTCTAAATTTTAGTTTAAATTTATTAAAGGAATAGACATTTCTTCTAGTTGATGTAATTAAATATAGTTTCCACTCAAAAAGTCATAGAAATGACCTATTTGCAATAAAAGTGTACTAAATCTTTCTTTGCAAGTATTTATTTTATCATCAAATAAAATAATTTCCATCATATTTAATTATTAATTTTCTATATTAGATTCAAATAGTTTTATTTTGTAATCATTTAAAATTTATAGCTTCAATTGCTCAAAGTAAAATTAATTAATCAAGCTAGTTTTATTTGTTTTATTTAAATTATTATGTATTGATATTTTTTAAAGCTATACTAGGACTCTAGTTGGATTTTTGATTATTTCATAAAGATAGTGCAAATATGATATTTTTAATTCGAAAGAACTCTCACTTTAGTTGTTCTTTTAATTGCTTTAGATATAGGTTTCTAGTAAATAAAGTATAACTAACTGAGCATATTCTTACCTAAAATGCTATTCAGACAATTCTTCAATTTGCAATGATTCTTTATTTTCCTTTTAGTCGGTTTTAATAAAAATTTATAATGTAAATATAATTTAATATAATTAATTAAATTGAATTGACGTGAATCTATCCTTTATAAAATTTGATGATTAAAAATATGTTAAGCTAATTAAAATTTTAAAAATGTAAGAATTATTTCTTTCTATTTCGAAATAATTTATTTCAGAATTAAAAATATATTTATTACATATCTTCTGAATTTATGACAGAAGCAATACTGGCTACTATTAGAACATTGTTTTTCATGAAATTAAATTATAATTTCATAGTTAATTCCTTATCCTCTTAGTAAGTAGTTACTTTAGCTTAATACTGCTTAATTCAGAAGTATTCTTATAATTTTTAAGAATTACTAGTCTTTCTATTATAATAGTTCGCTGATATTTGAAAATTAGTGAAATAGACTTAGATTTTACGCTTCTTTATAGTTTTTGATTAATTTAATTGATAATGGTATTGTTACTAAGCAAGCCAGAATAATGTCAGTATTTTTAAAAATATACAATTCTATTAAAAGACAGAAAGTGATTTGAAGAGAAGAAGCACATAAATAGAAGTAAATTTAATTAATGTCTTTTGATAAGTAGTAGTCATCAAATAGCAAGAAAATAACTTCAACTAGAAAGTAAATGAAAGAATAAATTGCAACTAAGTTATGTCCTTAAAATTAATAAAGAAATATTAAAACTGTCCTTAAAATAACTAAAAACAATTTCTGCTTGCTAGCTTTTCGTGCTAAGTAATTGCTCGATTCTTAAAAAGAGAAGCTGATATTATGTACTTCTAAAAAATATCCTATATGGTTAATAAAAATTAATTAAATTTAGTTCTTATACTAGGTTACTAAGATTTCATTATTCTTCAACTAAGAAACTTTTCAATGAATGTAAATGTAAATTTGAATTATAATTAATTAATGTAAGATTTAATCAAAAACAAACTTTATATTTATTAAATGACTGAATTTAAATTAAGAAAATAATAATTTAATAAATTACCTATTGCCAAAGTTAAAATAATATTTGTAAAGGATATTAATATAATAGCAAGTGAGTAAGTATTACTATTTTATGATAGAATATTTAGGGAGATATTCATAGATACATAAAATGGCCATTTATTGTAGATTGTTGTATAGATTTAGAAAAATAATTCATAGTATTTTGTGAGATTCAGTTTTCTAAAAGCAAATACAAAGGCTAAACTTAGAACAAAGAGACTATTTAAAATTAACGAAATAATTACTAATGATGTTTTATAGTATTTTTATGAGGACAGATAATCTCTTATTAATGGAACTATTTAAAGATATTGTATAAAATTTGATATATTATAAACTCTACTTTATATAATTTTTCTAAGCTATTAAGGTTATTTAATACTATCAATCTTTAATGCAAAAGAAAGTATTATGAGGCAGTGAATTACAACAATTAAAATGGATATAGTCTTAGTCAAATTAATTGGTTTGATTAATCTAATCAAATGGTTTAGATAAAATTATCTCAGTTATAAGTTATTAAAATGTTATTTTGTTTATAAATCTTTTTAGACTGCTTACTTATTAGACTTAGTATTTCTCATTTTATTTATTTATTTATCTTTCTGATTAGCTATTTATCTATATAATTTTAAATAACTATTTATATATCAAGATGAAATAAATCTGATTTTTAAATTATCACATTTATACTTTTATGATAATTTTTGAATGATTTACATATATCATTTTTAGTGGAAAATTTATTCATAATCTAGCTAATTAATTTATTTTGTCTTAATTAATTAATCAGAGTTATTGGAATTGTAGACTATAATTTCTTCTTATCTAGGTGTAAATGTATCATATATATTAGCATTAATATTTAAAATCTAAAAAATAAATTATAAATAAAAGTTAATAAAATAATATATTTTAATATAACATAGAAAATTTAAACATTTATTCTTATCTAGAAATGTAAATAAATAAGTAATAAAGATTACTTCTTTTGAATAAAAGGTAATGCGTAGATTGATCTTCAGTTTTATTAAATTACGAATTAATTAATTAATCAAAATATTCCCACGCTGTATTTTTCTTTTATGATTTGAGTAAATAGATAAATTTTAGATCCCAATCTATTGATCATTAATTTACATATTACTTGTAATCACATTTTTTTTTATAGACCTTCAATAACTTCATATTATCTTAACAAAGAAAAAATTTAATAGTTAATCAAATCAAAACTTAGAGAAAAGCAACCATAAAAATTATATTTAAGAAAGAAATTAAGAATTCTTATTTGCATGAATAAGAATGATTTACTCTTTAAGAAATCTGAAAAAAGAAAGGTAATTAAGCTTTTGGAAATTAGTAAGTAACTAAGTATATTTATTTATGGTCTGATTGATATTTGAAATATTATCTAATTTAAATAATACTTGTAAAATCAAAATAATTTTAGTATTTTTGAATGAATTCTAGCATTTAAAAAATTTTTAATTTTGTTTATTTATTTACGATTGCATTTTATTTTTTTTAATTCATTTAAAGATAGATACTCATTTTAACATGATTTATATCTTAAATCCCATCCATATCGCGGTTTAGTATTATATTAAGCTTTGAATTAAATAATACATAAAAGCAAAAAATGAATAATTTTTATTCAATATTTATCTAATAAAATTCTAAAATAATTGAGCTTTTAGACTACACTAAATAACTATTAAAAATTAAATTTAAATAAAAAATATATTAATTATAATTGAGTAAATATGAAAAGCATACATTTAAAAAATACTTTATGGTAATAATAATTTGATTACTCATTCACTAAAATTGCAATCAAATTAACAATATTATACATAGAAGAAGAAAAATAACACAAGCAACAGATGACTTAGAAGTAAGTAAAAATCCAAATATTAGAGAAGAATTTGAGACACTTCAGAGAATGAATTTATAATTTAAAAGAACCAATTATTTTACATGAATAAAGAATTAATGCATTTAAATATTAAAAATATGCTTTTTAGCAATATTCCAACTAACAAAAAGTAAATTAAAATTTTTTAATAACAAAGTAAATATTCGTAGATAATGAAGGTAATAAAAATCATAAATTAATCAGTATTTTTATTTATCTATGAGTAATAAAATATAATGATGTGTAAGGAACCTTATAAAGTATTTTTATTGTCAATATAAATTCAAAAATAATAAGTGAAAGTGGAGACCTTCCATAAAAATAAATAAATGTTAGAACTAAAAAAACATATAAAAGAGTAAATAGTTATTAAATATAAATGAAAAAATATAATTTATATTATTAAATAAATTCAAAAAATAATTGAACTTAACATAATTTTATTTTATATAAAACTTATTGATAATATTGTAATATATTATTTATTTAAAGAATTTTTTACTGATAAAAACCTATTTATAAGATAACCAAAATATGATATTCATAAATATAAAAATTATTATAAATAAATCTATCATATATATTTTAGGTTAAATTTTCTTTTTACAAAATATTATATAATAAAACAAATTATTTTCTATTATTCAAATATTTTATATTTATTCATCCTTTTTCACTTATTGCATGCCTATCACCATAACCAATTTATTTCAAATACAACTAATCTTTTTAATTTAAGACACTTGCTTATTAGTTTCTTTTATTATTATTTTGGGTAAAAAAGTCTATATTTTATTAAATTAATAAATAAAAAAAGCATTAGCAGAGTAATAAAGAAGAAATTGAAAAATTAAATAAACAAATTAAAAGGGCATATCATTTTAAATTCATTTTTATATATAGAATTATCATAATCCAAAACAAATAAACTAAATTTACTAAATTTAAAGTGATAAACTTGAGAGAGTAATACACTTTGATAAAGCAGAACCTAAGTTTGATGCACCGATTGCACCAATTTAATTGTAACTTTTTAAATATAGAAGAAGAAATAAATAATTAATAAGTTATATAGAAGGAAAAATTATGAAATTATAAGAAATAAAATAATAGATAATAAAAAGAAATGTTAAAAATAATAAAATGAGTTAAATTAATAGAGAAAAAACGCAATTATTACTAACTAATAAACTCATTAAAAGAGCTTTATTGTTTTAAATTCATTTTTATAATTAGAAATATCACAATCCAAAATAAACAATAAGTTTTTTACCAAATCTTAAGAGACAAATTTGTGAGATTAGTGAAATTTGCTAAACCAGAACTTAAGCCTGATGCACCTTAATCTCCAATTTTATTTTAGCTTTTTTTAAATATTGAAGAAAAAATATATAATTAATAAGTTATTTAGAAGAAAAAAATGATGAAATAATATTAAATAATAAGAAATAAATTAATAAATAAATAATAAAATCAAATTGTAAAAATAAAAAATGAATGAAATTAAGAAAGATGTGGAAAAAAAAAAATCTAATTTAAAAATTAAATGAGTTTAATTCTTTTAAATTCATTTTTATTAATAGAAATATCAGAATCTAAAATAAAAAAACTGTTTTTACGCAAGATCAAGTGTCAAATTTTAGAGATTAGTTGAATTTGCTAAAGCTGAAACAATGTCTGATGCACCTTAATCACCAATTTCATTGAATCTTTTTAGATATTGAAAGAAATATAAATATATAAAATAATTTATAAAGAAGATAAGAAATATTTGAAATGATAAATTAATAAATAATAAAAGCTAATACTAAAAAAAAAAATTAGTGATATTTATAAATACAGTAGGAAAGAAAAAAAAACAAGTACAATTAAAAAAAAATTAATACTTATAATTAAATTAAATGAGCTTCATTGTTTTAAACTCATTTTAAAAAAAGAAATTTCACAATCTAAAACAAATATACTGTTTCTTACCCAAGAGAAAGTGTCAAATTTAAGAGATTAGTACAATTTACTAAAGCAGAACCTAAGCCTAATGCGCCAGTTGCATCAATTTAATTTCCACTTTTTTAGTATTAAAAGAATATATAAAATTGATTAGTTTCTTAGAAGGAAAAAATGAAAAAAAACATAAAATAATAAGAGGAAATGAATTAATAAATAATAATTGTTGAAAATAAAAAAATGAGTGAAATTAAGAAAGATAGAAGAAAAAAATAAAATTACAATAAAAAGCAAAAAGATAAATAAACTAATAAAAATCTTAAAAAAAATTAAAAGAGTTATAATGTTATAAATTCATTTTTATAACTAAAAATATCACAATCCAAAACAAATAAACTGTATTTACGCAAGATCAAGTGTCAAATTTGAGATATCAGTGCAATTTGCTAAAGCAAAACTAAAGACTGAAAAATCTTAATCACCAATTTTATTATAACTTTATAAAATATTGAAGAAAAAAATTTTATCAATAAGTTATTTAGAAAGAAAAAATATGAAATGAAACAATAAATAAATAATAGAAACAAATGAATAAAACTAAGAAAGAAGAAAAAAAAAACACACAAGTACAATAAAAAAGAAAAAGATAAATAAATCTAACTAATAAAAAGCTAATAAATACATAAATTAAAAGAGTTTTTTTGTTTTAAGTTAATTTTTTTTAATAGAAATATTTTAATCAAAAACAAATAAACTACTTTTTACCCAAGAATAAGTGCCAAATTTGAGATATTAGTGCAGTTTGCTAAAGCAGAAACTAAGCCTGATGCACCCATAGCACCAATTTAATTATAACTTTTTAAATATTGAAGAAAAAATAAAAAATTTTTTAATTATTTAGAAGGAAAAAAATGAAGAAAAAATATGAAATTATAAGAAATGAATCAATCAATCAATAAATAATATAAGCAAATGTTGAAAACAAAAATATGAGGGAAATTAAGAAAGACAGAAAATAAAAAAAAACATAAGTACACTAAAAAAGTTAAAGATAAATAAATCTAATAAAAAGCAAATAAGCAATTTAATAGAGCTTTAAAATTCATTTTTATAAATAGAAATATCACAATTTAAAAGAAATAAACTGTTTTTACCGAAGGGCAAGTGTCAAATTTGAGAGATTAGTGCAATTTACTAAACCAGAACCTAGGCCTGATGCTCCAACATCACCAATTTAATTGTTACTTTTTAAATATAGAAAAAAATATTTCAATCATATATTATTTAGAAGAAAAAAATGAGGAAAAAATAATGAAATAATAATAAGAAGTGATTCAATAAAATATAATAGCAAATGTTAAAAATAAAAAAAATTAGTTAAATTAAGAGAAAAAAAATACAAGCTCAATAAAAAAGAAAAATATAAATAAATCTAATAAAAAGCTCATAAACAAATTAGAAGAGAAACTTTTTTTTTAAATTTATTTTTATAAAATTAAAATCATATTCCAAAATAAACTGAATTTACTGAAGATCAAGTTTCAAATTTGAGAGATTAGTGCAATTTGCTAAAGCAGTACCTAAACCTGATGCCCCCAAATAATCAATTTAATTTTCACTTTTTAAATATTTAAAAAAATAAATAATTAATAAGTTATTTAGAAAGAAAAATTAAAAAAAAATAAGAAATAGTAAGTAGAAATGAATTAATAGATTAATAAATAATAAAATGTAATGTATTAAATAAAAAAATGAATGAAATTAAGGAAGATAGAAGAAAAAAAAAACACAAGTACAATAAAAAAGAAAAAGATAAATAAATCTAATAAAAAGCTAATAATAAGAAAAGTGTGGTTGGCACTCTATTTTTTAAGGCTTAATTTTTTTCATTCATAAATTTTTAATCTTGATTTTTTAAAAAAATTAAGTTCAAAAAAATATAGTGCCAGACCATAATTTTCCTATTATATAAAATCTAATAAACGAATTAAAAGTGTTTAGTTGTTTTAAATTCATTTTTATAAATATAAATATCACAATTAAAATCAAATAAAATGTTATTACCCAAGATAAAGTGTCAAATTTGAGAGATTAGTGCAATTTTTTAAACCAGAACCTAAGCCCGATAAACCAATTACACCAATTTTATTGCAACTTTTTAAATTTTGTAGAAATAATATATAATTAATAAATTATTTAGAATGAAAAAATGAAGAAAAAATATGAAGTCATAAGGAAAAATTAATTAATAAATGATAAAATTAAATCTTGAAAATAAAAAAATGAGTGAAATTAAGAGAGATAGAAGAAGAAGAAAAAACACAAGTACTATAAAAAAGAAAAAAATAAATAAATCTTATAAAAAAGCAAATAAACAAATTAAAAGAGCTTTATTGCTTTAAATTCATTTTAAGAAATAGAAATATCACAATCCTTTTAACTGTTTTTACCCAAGATAAAGTGTCAAATTTGAGAGATTAGTGAAATTTACTAACGCAGAACCTAAGCCTGATATACCTTAATCTCCAATTTTATTGTTACTTTTTAAATATTGAAAAAAAATATTAAATTAATAGGTTATTTAGAAAGAAAAATTGAAGAATAATTCTAATAAAAATTTAATAAACAAATTAAAAAGGTTTAATTGTTTTAAATTCATTTTTATAAATAGAAATATCATAGCTCAAACAAATAAATTGTTTTTACCCAAGATAAAGCGTCAAATTTGAGAGATTATTGCAATTTGCTAAAGCAGAACCTAATCCTTATGCACCGATTTCACCAATTTAATTTCCACTTTTTCAATATTTAAGAAAAAATGGATAATTAAAAGTTATTTAAAAGGAAAAAATGAAGAAAAAATATGAAATAATAAGAAATGAATTAATAAATAAGAAATGTTTAAAATAAAAAAATGAGTGAAATTAAGAAAGATAGAAGAAGAAAAAACAAATTTCATAAAAAACAAAATATAAATAATTCTAATAAAAATCTAATAAACAAATTAAAAAGGTTTAATTGTTTTAAATTCATTTTTATAAATAGAAATATCATAATCCAAAACAAATAAACTGTTTTTACCCAAGATAAAGCGTCAAATCTGAGAGATTAGTGTAATTTGCTAAAGTAGAACCTAATTCTGATGCACCTATTGCACCAATTTAATTGTTACTTTTTAAATATTGAAAAAAAAATATTTAATTTATTAGTTATTTAGAAGGAAAAAATAAAGAAAAAATATAAAATAATAAGAAGAAATCAATTTATAAATAATAAAAGCAAAAAAATAAAAAAATGAGTGAAATTTATAAATATAATAGAAAAAAAAACACAAGTACAATTAAAAAGAAAAAAATAAATAAATTTGATAATAAACTAATAATCAAATTAAAAGAGTTTAATTTTTTTAAATTCCTTTTTATAAATATAAATATTATATTCCAAATCAAATAGACTGAATTTACACAAAATCAAGTGTCAATTTTGTGATATTAGTGCAATTTGCTAAAGCAGAAACTAGAC